TAAATTTTCTGTATATTTCTTAATTTTGATGTATATCAAAATTAAGAGATATACATCACTTTGTGTATTGAAGCTGTATAACGTATTATTATATAGCTATATAATAGCTATTATACAGCTGTAAAATAGCTGTATAATAATAAGTTTCATGGCTGGAACCGAACTATTGAGATGGCCGAACTTTGTTATGATGTTGATATGAAGACGTACATCTTGCCAATGTGGGGCATCAGGCTCAATTTCTGATGTTCTCTCAGAGTTACATCTGGACTAAGTTATTTTTCAAACACCAAAAGTATTCCAAAACTGTCTCATAAAATTCAATAAAAAAGAAAGACACTAAAAATAATATATGTGGTCTAAAGCGTCATTCTTGTTAGAAAGACACTCCTAACCAGACGAGTGACTCCCTGTCAAGCATGCCCACTTCCTTCCATTCATCAGTGCCAGTCTCCTGAAAACAGGAAGCCTTAATCCACCAATAAAATTCCTGTTTTGTTTACCTCTTTACTTCCATTCCAAGTGTTCTTGTTTGACATTTTTTATCTTATTTATTATAAGAAAAAAAAAGGATCTGAAAGATTTCCTCTCCTTTGTCAATACAGTGATTGCAACTTTTTTGGTCTAGTTGCCTAGAAACACTCATTTGGAGTTATGTGTTTCGTCACATTTGCCTGCCAGCTCACATGTTAAAATTTCAAAGCTGTGAAGAGATTTGAAGAAATACAAGAAAATTTACAGCTTTTTGTTTTTCTTTGTGTTGTGTATTTTGATTTTATTCACATTTTTTGCTTTATTTTACTTATTTCCTTCAGTCTCTCTAATGAATATTTGAATAATTTGCATGGGGGTGGGAGGGTGATTGAGGTCTCAGTGCAGAGAACATTTTGAAATTATTTACCATGAGTAAAGATATTAGGGATAAGTCACTGATTGTGTTTCCAGTGAAACGTGACAAAAAGCTGCAGGCTCTCTTGCTCTTTCTCTCCGGACATATGTGCATTTTCTGAATGCACTGCTCGCCTATATGCGTGTGTTTGTGCGTGTATGCATGTGTGTGTGTTGCCTTCTCCCACATTTGTTCTTGCATACATGACAGAACTGTGACCTAGTTTGTTGGACGACTACAGTAAGTGGGTTTCTCTGTTTCAGTAACCTCGTATCACATTGGGCCCCCCTCTGCTTTCCTCATATGGGAGAAACCCAGGCGAGCCTCTAGATGCACGACAGCGCACTGCTGAAAACAAATAGCACTGAATAGAGAAATATTTCGAAAGCATTTCGGAGCGTAGAACATGCTGTGAGTTTGCCTGTGTGAATGCACGAGTGCATGTGAATCTCATGCCAGCGCTCCGGGCTGTGTGGTGCCCTGCTGAGGCCCAGGGCCACCATTCTGCCCAAGCAGCAAGGGGCCGCGCATCTATAGCTTCCCCATCACACTGAGCAGCTTTTTTAGCCGTAGTAGCAAACTAATGCATACCCGCTTCGCTTTTTGTTTAGAGGACACTCGGATCTCCAACAGCAGACAGTTGGCTTTCTTTTGATGCAATATGTTTGTTAGCACAGAAGTTATTTTGTTCATTTTGTCCATGTTCCACATGGATTATGCAGGCTTTAGTAACCGTGGACTGTGCTGAGGGGCAGGAGATGCAGCTGTCCAACATTAACATGTCTCAAGATAGAAATATTTATTATATAAGTTATGTTTTATGGGGAATGTGCAACTGAAATGGTCAGCTGTGTACTTGATGGACTCTTTGGCTTCAACCTACTGGAATGTCCCAGATGCACAATGAACTGCATCTCTTCCCAAACCACACTCCATTAGTCCAAATTTCCTTAAACCATTCAGATATTTCTTCTTAGTAACTTTGTTAATTTTGTCACCCAAGATGGCATCTGTGATATTCAAAGTGACGCAGTTAGCTATTTTTTGTGCCTACTTAATGACTCTTCCTTTAATTGTAATGCAAAAAGTATATGAAAGTCAATTAGAGCTTAGCAGAATGACTTGAGTCTGAGAATTTCTTTCCTCTAAAGTGCATGTCTTTATATTCAAAGTTGTCCGTGCACATCTCTGTGTTCCTGCTCGTTCTGAATCATCAGAAGCTTTAGGTAAAGGAATGCCTGCGCTGTGGCAGATGGTTGGCATAAACCTGGCAGCGTCTTCCTCTCTCTCCATGAGTACACCACCCACATGGCTGCCAACTCTCCCACGTGTTTACTTTTCCTCCCCGGGCTCAATCTGCACACTGTGTGCTGAGAGGAAAATCAGTCCTCACCTCAGCCTTCTCCCCCAGGCCTTAGCTTGATATCAGGATCTTTAGTACAAAGCAGGCATGTCCAGTTGTCCAGTGAGGGCTGGTCCTGCTTTTCATCTGTGTCTTCAAGGACCGATAAAAGAAAAAACGGTTTTGTCTTCTGAAGAGGAAATGCCATCGTCTGACGACAAACACGAAATGAGACAATTTTCTCTTTGAAGATAGGCTCCTATCTTTTTTATTTCCACCTTGATGTCGGAGATATTTACTCTTTAAATGTCACTTACTTGGTTTTCAGTGTAAAATCTTCCTGATAGTTTCCTTGCTCCTTCAATTTGCACAGTATTTGTGTTTTCCAAGAAAAGATTTTCACAGACCTTAACAAGTTAAGCCCCATTTACACCAGGTAAAACATGGATTCTAAGATTGAACATGATTTGGTCACAACAAAAAAGACTTCTCAGCGTGTAGGCAAGCAGTTCTCTGCCAACCACCAGAGGTTTTCCTTTTTGGCAATCGTATGAGGATGATACTTAAGTGGGATTACGTCTGAACCTTTATGCTCTTCACATTTATAATAATTATTCCACAAATATTGATGTTTTTTTTTTTTTACTTTATCATCAGTTACAGTGTTACTGTGCAGGGGGAAACATTGTGAGAACTGTATTTATTGCGTTTTATCAACATCCCAAGAGGATGCAGATGAGGGGTTTCTCATCTGCATCCTGATGATGTTGTGTGCTTTTATCTTGGCAAATGGAGTCTGAAGGTTTGATTTTGAAGAAAATACAAAATGCTTCTTTACCTCTGACCTGATCTCACTGATCCTCTGTTTCCCACACTCATTTTGGTTATTATTAGTCTTTTTGGGCATGAATATCTTTTCTATTATTTAAACCACATGACTCACTGCTGATTCATATGTAATGTATTTCCTCCTTTCTTACTCTTTTGCTAAATGGGACACCATTACTTCTCTGACAGCATGACAAACACAATTTGTATTTCTACTTGCAACTTCTCATAGAGTCTATAAAATTCAAATAACTTCTCTCAACATTCCAACATCCAGCCTCTATGCAATTTGAAGGTGTGTGTGCTTCTACTCAGCTGAAAACTTTACTTGATAAACAACACAGCATACTGAAAGCTATAAACAAGGGATCTAAGCTTGAGTTTTCTGTTTTTGTCTTTGAAGATTGGGTTTTTAATTTTGGTTTCTTGGTGAGACTTATTCTGCTGCAGTCAGAGGAGTGATAGAGGAGCCAAATGCACATAGCGGTGCTAAAAGATGGAAATAAATTAAGCAGAATAGAATCCCACTAGCTTAGTGTGGGCGTGAGGATACATCACGATGTGTCTGATGCAACCATTAGAGGATAGCGCCAAAACTCTGCTTAGTCCTCCAATCTTCTAGCTGATCTTTAACATCATGTCGCTGTCTTAGTCCATGTGAAAGGTGCTGAAGCAGTTCCTAGTAAATTTCACAGGCTTCCTTAATCTAACAGTGTGTCTTCTTTTGTCATGACTGCAGTGACATCCAATCAATCTACATATTTCCTCGGCATTCACAGAAGCATTTTCTGTATTTTTCACTTGTAGTTCAGAGAGTTGAGTAATCAGCTGCGACCCAGTTCTCATGGCTCCATATTCATATCTTGGTCCAGAGAGTATATTAATAACTGTCATCATTGAGGCACAGTTCTGACTTGTCAGCAAGATTGTTTAAATATACTAGAATAAAAATATAGTTCAACAACAAACAGTAGCTTCTCAAGTGTCATGATGTGCATTTAGCAAACTTACATTGAGCATGAAAAGAGTATTTCAGCTCCAGTTTGCTGATTTTATGTTGATGAATATTAGACAAACAAACTAAGGTCTTGCCCATTCTTTTGCTAAAGATAAATTCTCATTCATTATTTGCTGCTGAGTTTTGCATGGTTCAGGCACAATTGCAGGAAGGGGCTGTGCAGACAGGAAGTTGAAGGGCAGACAGAATATTCTTGCTGGATTCTGGGGGTACACAGGAGTGGTTCATTCAGACGCTCTGCAAGCTTCTATAAGCCGGAAGCCGTCTTTGTTTTTTTCAAAACAGTGATTTCTCAACAGAGTTCTCTCTGATTGGGTAGAGTTTTTCCTCATTTCTATAAATTGAATAAAAGGTTTCCATTGAAAATACCTTAAGTGCTAAAGGGCTGAAGTTATCCAACACAAGCTGGCTGAACAGAGCAGAGAGCATTTATTTCTGACTTCCACTGATTTGCTTATTCTTAAGCTAATGACCCCGCTCACTTCTCTGACTGAGTGGCTTTATCAGCCTCATCTACACTGCAGCTCTGCCCTCACTTACAAGCTTGAGTAGAGCCCCCGCCTACTAGAGTCACAGTGGGACGCAATACACCTCAGTAGGAAGTGGCATATTGAATCAGTGGCTTTAATAAGCTGTTGTTAAGCGGTGTTTGAGATCATGAGTCGGAGAGGCAGTCACATAAACACACGCTCTCATACAGGTGTGGGAAAGTGGGTGACCCATTTTGCAGCACTTCCATGTGGATGATGTTCAGAAGGTTGACAAAATACAGTGAGAAATGATGCTCTAAAAATAAATATAGTGGCATGTTAAAGTCTGTCATGTCTGTATACATGTAACAGTTCAGCTTTAAGTTAAAATGTGATAAAAAGAGCCTGAATCAACTAATATTCAAACCTTGTTTCAAACTTTTGTCCTTGCAGGGCAGAAAAAACAGAGGTGCTGAGTGAAGATCTTCTACAGGTGAGCTGCAGTAAAGATGTGTTTGTGTTGGAAAACCGTGGCTAAAAGCAGGAACTGGACTGAAATCAGTAACCTCATATTAAGGACTCACTGTTCAAGCTGTTTTCATTTAATGTGTATGAGGCATAGGACAGATGCCAGTATCAAAATGGAACAAGCCTGTAAAAATTATGATTTCCAAATTGGTGAAATATTCCCTCATACATTTTGAATGTTTTAATGCCTTTTTAACAAACTGCAGGGAAAGCGCTGGATTAACTGGAGTTTGCAATATTTTCACAGAGCACTAACAAAGCACTTTCCCACATTTTGTCCACTGCCAGTTAGCTGGCTGAAAAAAGGGAGGTACTACATTTTGACCTTAATAACATGAAAGGTTACTGCAGCTGTAAGGAAATATATGTTGAAAATAAAAGGAACCCCACCCTTAGCACTGCTTTAGTGGGAAAGTTATGAGCAAGTCTGCAAAAGCCGCTCACTGTAGCTCCAATATTCAAGCAGATAACTTGACTGAATATCAAAGTAAAAACATCTAGTTAGGTAATAATCACTTGAAAACTACTAACTTTCTTTTATTCAATACATTTGCTTGTAGTGTGGAGAAGAGTGGTTTACTTTTGAGTGTTTGCACCTTTATTACTTGTTGTGAGATCTATCTCAACAGAGTGAGGAAGTGAGAAATATAAGAAAAGCTCAACTCTCACTGCCGCAGAGTGAGAGTTGATAAACTCCACAGTTTTGTTCTTTATAAAGCAACAGTGGGAGTAAAGCAAACCCATGTTAGCTAGTTTATTAGTCTATCTGCTGAGAGTGGCGAGAGTTTTCTACTGCCGCTTAAACCTGTCATAATAAGCAATTAATCAATTAATTTCAAATGAGCTCAATAATTCACTTGTGGTGATTTTTTATTTTTTGAAGGGCAATTTTGTTTACAGATATTTTATACTTAGTTTTAATAGTGGGTGTGTGTGTTTTTTTTTTTTATTTCCGTTTTATTCTTTGTAGTGTGATGTCTTGTTTAATTCTGGATATTTTACATATATCCCAGTACTTTTTCAACAATTCTCCTTTACTGCCCTGTAATCAATGATTTTTGTAATTAGAAATATTCCTAATTACTTGTTACTAAGTTAAAAAAATAGGATTTATTTTTCAATCGGCTGTACAGCATTATTTATAATGGAAGTGCTTCACTACTACATGTAGCAAGAGAAATTTCTGGCACACCTCATTTAAATTTGAAACTGTAGAAGTGGAATGACATAACCTTTTAGTGATTACATCTTAGAAAGTTTTAGTACCCTGAGGCAGTTATCATGACGCTGATCTGAAATGTAAACTCGTGATGAATTGCTAAGCTTGCAGAGAGGTGACAGATGTGTAGCTGTGAGAACAGTGTTGCGTCTTCGTGCAGACATTAGCACTCAGCTGCTTCCTGCGTGTGTCCACCTGTGTGCAGGTGGAGAAGCGTCTGGATCTGGTCAAGCAGGTGACACATAGCACTCACAAGAAACTGACCGCCTGCCTGCAGGGTCAGCAGGGCACTGACACCGAGAAGAGATCTGTCAAGTCACCTTCTGTGAGTGCCCGGCTCTGTGACGGTGATGGAAAGCTGCACGGTGACTGACAATGATGTCTTCGTAACGTTATCTCTCTCTCTGCTGTCAGAAAAAGCTTCCGCTCACAATCTTGGCACAGTGCATGGAGGAGGGAGCAGCGGTGTTGGGGGATGACTCTCTCCTAGGGTAATGCATACAGTCATCTACCCATTATATATTTTTTCCTTCTTTCTTGATGAACATTTTCTGTTATTGATCGTATTCTCTTGGTTGCCATGTAACAGAAAGATGCTGAAGTTGTGTGGGGACACAGAAGACAAGCTGGCCCAGGAGCTGCTGCAGTTTGAGCTCCAAATAGAAAGAGATGTGGTGGAGCCTCTTTATGTGCTTGCAGAGGTGAAAGTAATGCAAATGTTCAGCCTTATGCACTTTGTTTCTCGTCTCTTACATCACAACTACTGATATTTTCTTCTGTAGGTGGATATTCCCAACATCCAGAAACAGAGAAAGCACTTAGCTAAACTTGTTTTGGACATGGACTCAGCGCGAACAAGGTGAAAGGCGTTTATGTTTAAGTCCCAGGCTGCGATCCGCTCCTGTTAATTTAACACTCATGGTAAAAAGTGTGCTGGAGAAACGACATATCCAGAGCAGTAGTTCTGTTTTGTTTTTTGTTTTTTCCCACCGCAGATATCAGCAGTCATCTAAGTCATCCAGCCATCCAAGCACAATGCAGCCCGGTGCCAAGTCCGAATCCCTCAGAGAGGAGATGGAGGAAACAGCCAATAGGATGGAGATTTGTAGAGTGAGTCACCAGACTGAGCAAATCATTAATCATGTCCTCGTTGGTGTCTTTCCCTCTCTGATTTATAAATGTTGTGAACACATTAGACATAAATGGACCACGCTGCCAGGATATTTAATTCTCTTCTTTAATTTTTAGGATCAGCTGTCGGCAGATATGTACAATTTTGTGGCCAAAGAAATAGACTATGCAAACTACTTCCAGACAGTAAGTAAATCACATTTTTAAGCTCCTGATTTTTTTCCTTTTACTCAAAGAAACATACAGAAGCAAGTATGTATTTTAATGAGATAATTGGAGAATATTTATCCATCATGATCTATTACACAATTTATCATATAGTCATAATGTAGTCTGCTGGGATTTCAGAGGGACTAAACAAAATAGTGCATAATTCTGAAGTTGAAGTTTCTCATTGATATGTATTAACTAGTAATATGTATTTTTAATGCAATTACAGTAGCAGATCTTGAGAAATAATCTCTGTTATCGTCACACATCTACATAGACAGACATGTTTGCCAATTCTTTTTTTTTTGCAAAATAGCTCAAGCAGATTGAGCTATTTTGAGCAGATTGAGATGATGGAGATCATCTCAGAATAAAAAATATTCAAGTCTTGGTATAGAGTCACGCAAAATCAGCATGCATTTAGCTTCATCCATCTCAAATAAATTCTGAACTCTGAGCTACTTTCTTTTTGTCTATCACATAGAATCCCAGTAAAATATATAAAAAGTTGTTGTTTTACATGAGAAAATGTAAAAAAAATAAATAAAAAGTTCAAGCGTAAGAATACCTTTTTCGGCACTGTATATGCATTTCTGTGTGTTGTGATGGCCTTTTCTCTCTCACCCACCCCTCTCTAGCTAATAGAAACACAGGCAGAGTATCACAGGAAGTCATTAGAAATTCTTCACAGTGTCCTGCCCCAGATTAAAGCTCACCAAGGTGAGTCATCCTCAGAGCGTGGAGGTGTCTGAGTAGAGCTTCCTTTCTGTTTCTGCACCTAAAGCTACATAACGGCAGCATATAAAAGAGAGCCTAATTTCTCAGAGATGTCAAATGACTCCATAATTTAGCAATAATTATATACTGTAATAATTAAAGCATACGGGCTTAAACATAATGCAAGACTAAATTCATTTGCATACATTGTTCACATTTATAGAGTTTATCTTCTGGAAAATTTTCTTTGTGAGCACGGCATATTTGCAACTTGTGTTGTTTCACATCTGTGTTTTGCTTTGTGTTGCAGAGGCGTGGGTGGAGAAGCCATCATTTGGCAAGTCTCTGGAGGAGCACCTGAATATTAGTGGGAGAGAGATTGCATTTCCCATTGAGGCCTGCGTCACCATGCTGTTAGAATGTGGCATGCAAGAGGAGGTACAGCACAAACACCCCCACACTCTCATACAAAACTTATACCATGTGGGTGTGAATTTAGTTCATGTTAATGTAATTTCCCGGTGCGTCGTCTGCAGGGCCTTTTCAGAGTGGCTCCATCTGCCTCCAAGCTGAAAAAGCTGAAAGCTTCGCTGGACTGCGGAGTTCTTGACGTCCAGGAGTATTCCTCTGACCCGCACGCCATCGCAGGTGAACGTCACCCACACACCAATAAGATCAATAAGATCTTGTTTTCATCTTATTTACACATGAAAATAGAATTTTCATGTGTAAATAGATTTGTTCTTCAGTTTACTTCCTCGTGGATTTTGGACATAAGGTGCTGAGAAAGGTAATCGTTCTGAGCCAAATTTTGTCACATAACAACAACAAATCAAAAGGTATTTTTTTAAAACTTCCTAAATTTGACAATAAAGTGCATGTTCAACTCCCTTTACTCTGATTCCCGCTAAATAAATAAAGTCAGGAATCGTTCCATGTTCTGTGAAGGCCTCAGAAACATATTTGGGGAACATTAGCAAGCACACCATAGTAAATACAAACACGAGGCAGATAAGGGAAGAGTTGTAGAGAACTTAAACACATCAGCCAAAACTTTGACCATCTTACAGAGCACTGTGCAATTCAACTACTAAACATAATAACAGTATGACTCAACTGCAGACCTACGTACTCCTGGTCATTCAGAGAGTTCAGTCACTTCTTCACTGCTATGCACTACTCTGTACTGAAATAATCCTCAATAAAGTATCCCAAAATGGTTGTGAAAGGAGACGAAAGGAAATATTAAAGCAGTATCAGTATAACTATAACACTGTCAGCACTATCACAAGGTTGAAAGAAGCTGTTTAAAGACTCGCCATAATCCCGACCAGTTAACGTTGTCTTTTAAACATATGAACATGAAAGCTGTGTTGAACGAGCTCAATCTGGCAGCTGTATTAACTACAAGGGCCTGCTGGAGGAGAGGGAATATGGGGCATGGCCTCACAAGTTCTTGAAAGAAAGAAAAAAAAAAAAGAAAACATCCCTCCACCCTCTGAGAGAGCTGACCAATTTTTTCCCTCCTTTTTTATTTTTTACATCCGCAGGGGCCCTGAAATCATACCTCCGTGAACTCCCTGAGCCACTAATGACCACTGAACTTTATGATGAATGGATTCAGGCCTCCAAGTGAGTTGATTTTCTCTCGTTAAAAAACATTTCTTGGATTATGCCATTGGCTATGATGACTAGAAAATAGTCCAAAGTCTTCCTAAAGAATGATGACATTTAATAAAACATGGAACAAAAAAAAATATGCTAGAATTTTATTTTTCTCATTAATATTTCCACAGCATTCAAGATATAGACAAGAGACTGCAAGCCTTAATGGCAGTATGTGAAAAACTCCCCACAGACAACCTAAACAATTTCAGGTGAGCTGTTTGTCTTTTTTTAGTATATTGAATGGTTTTGTAAGCCAATTACAATGTCTCACATAGATCATCCTGTTCATAATACTATTGAGTTTGTATAAATCTTCCCTAAAATTTTTTCTAACTTTCTGAATTTATTCCCTCCTTAATAGTTAAAGCAAGTTTAAAAGCAGGCAGTATAATCAGTTTGTTTCAGTATTGACCACCTGAAGACAAGGACTGTTTTTTTTCCTGCCAGTTAGACACCTATAAACCCAATAACATGACTACAAACTGCTATGATGTTTTTTTTTACTAATAATTGCTTAAGAATTTGAAAAAAAAAAAGATCAGTTTGACTGGACTTTTTTGTCCAATCCTGCAGATATCTTATAAAATTTTTAGCCAAGCTGAGTGAATACCAGGATTCGAACAAAATGACTCCTGGTAACATGGCCATTGTCCTCGGACCTAACTTGCTGTGGACTCAAACAGAACCGTATGTATCCCTACTGCATCACTGATTTACCAAATGTTGGGTCTGATTTGCACGTAAATAAGAAACTATTTTTCTCTTTCTAGCAACATGACGGAGATGATGACCACTGTTTCTCTGCAGATTGTTGGCATCATTGAGCCTATTATTCAGCATGCTGATTGGTTCTTCCCTGGAGGTCAGAATTACATCAATACATACAGGACGCACCATTACAATGAGTCTAGGAAACATAGTTTGTAGCTATGCAACTATACTGAGTTATCAAATTACCTTGGTGAAGATGCTTCCTTATTTTATTGCCCTCTTTGCTTCTGTGTACTAAATGAGAAAACTATCAGTATTTCTAGATCAGAAACAACATAACTGAAGAAACTCTTATTTATACAAACTCATTTTTTCTTTATGTTTACAATATATTACAGTAATAATACTGTATTTATAATAGAGCAATCAGCAAAATCCTCTTTTGCAAGAATAAGCTGTGTTCACGTATACAAACCTAATAGAGACAAAACTCAAAAGACTTTGAGTATCAACTCAGCCGCGCCTGAATGCACCCAATTCTTTAGATCTTTTATTTAAAACTATTTTAACATCACAGAGCCCTTTTCCTTCTGCTTTACAATCACATACTATTTAGTGTTAGTCTACGACATAACATCTCAAGAGAATGTGTTTGGATTGAAATCCTTTTAGATGGGCCTGTGTTACAGTTTGCTGATGTGTGTGCCTCTGCCGCAGAGATCGAGTTCAATCTGACAGGCTGCTATGGGAGCCCGATTCACACCAACCACAACTCCAACTACAGCTCCATGCCCTCACCAGACATGGACCAGTCAGAACGCAAGCAGCAGCAGCACGACCAGAGCCGACGCCCACTGAGTGTTGCCACTGACAACATGATGCTGGAGTTTTACAAGAAAGATGGGTATGATGGCAAGGGCTGCTTCTCTCCTGCCCACCTTGTTCTCTCTCTCTCTCTCTCTCTTTCTTCTTATCCTTGTCTCATGCACAAGATGAGATTGAATAGATGCAGTGAAGTGGGGAAACATTCAGAAAACATTAAGAAAATCTACATTTTGTGCCTCATGTGTCTGAAACTTTCACATGTGACAGAGAGATGAGCATCCTGGTATCTGCCCATTTATTCTCCTACATAGAAATACACCCCCATGTTCTCAGGATTCATCAACAACGGGGGTCTGAAATGCCTTAGTATCATTGTCTCTATAGCAACAAGCTGCTGATAGAGGCTGCTAGTTATTTCTTCTTTTTTTTTTTTTCAGGGAAATATTTTTCTTGACTTTTCTTCATGTCCTCCCACACCAAGCTCCTCCCTCACAGTCTGGCTAGTGCGTCACCTGGCCTGACTCATTCAATCCGCCAGTGCAAAGAGAAAAATTATGAGAAATAAGAAACCAAGTTAGTAAAGCAGTAATAGACACAGAATGCTGAAAGACAGCTAGGATTAGTTTTAGCTAATTTCAAGTCATGAATATGTATGAAAATGAACTGGTTTCTCTATAGTAGTCAGTTGTTGTCGTAAACCTCCTCTCACCTCCTGAACACCCCTTATCCCTGACCACCGCCAGAGTGTCTCATCTTCCGTCTTCTACTCTTGTGTTGTGAACCATATCTGCATCACTTATGACCTCATATCCTTTTTGCCTCTTATCTCCCCTACTAACGCAGCATTAGGAAGATACAAAGGTACTGTATCATTCCGTTGTTCCTACTTCATCCCCCCCCCCCTCTCTGTCCCATCTAAATTCATTTCAATGTTGGCACCGACGTATGTGACTCGTGTTTCTCACCAGTATGGGCGTCAGAGTGATGGATACCTCCTGGGTGTCTCGCAAGGGTTCTTCCACCCTGACACGCAAGACTTCTTCCACCCCTCCTGGCATGCAAGGACCTGGCTCCCCCGCTGACACGCTCATCCTCGAGCAGCCCTGCGAACTCGCCACCTCGCCCTCCGCCACGCCGCCACTTGGAGAAAGGGTTTGGTAAGTTGCCATAGGGACGCTGTCCTCTTGTTGCTCACGTATTCACAGCAGGTCATTCTTATTTTCACCACCATCATCACCACCATAAGCATTCTCAGATGAGAGGATGTGTCACCCATTTTTTCATTGATTTGCAACATCTCGACGATGTTTCAGTCTAATTCTGTTCTGTCTCTCTCTCTGTGCTCACTTCACTTCTTTGTCATGTATTTGTGACTGTAACTTTTTTTTTTTTGTCCAAATTTTGTGGTGAATTTGGATCTGTGTAAATGGTGCTAAGCTTCAATTTTTTTGGTCCTTGCAAGCATGCTAAAATATCCTGTCTGTCAGTAATGCAGTAATGCTTTTTTTCTACATTTCTGGGCTTTCGTTATCACCTTCAAGCACATGAATAATCAAACCTCAGTCATTTTTTTCGGCCCATGTGTCAGACGAGATAATTTGGCTTCTGGTTTGGCTTGCTTTATCCTCATTTCCCGTGGCTCTTTCAGCCATTGAAAGGGTTTTGTGTCTGTTTCACACTGCCCTGGGCTGACTGCAGGACCTGGGATGCAAATAAGTCATATATTGCGAATTCCGGTTTCCATTTCCAGCAGTGAGGAGATCCACTTGATAATATTGTGAGCTGTGGATGAACGCTTTGGCTCACAGAGAAAAATCCTCAGAGCTCTCTGCAGTGTGCAGACACAAGGTGATCACAGAGGAAGTGTTACACGCTGTATTCTTTTCCTTTGCCAATAAAATATTCTTTTTTCTGCTTTTTCTTTGTGCTTGTCTTTGTATTTGCACTTTGAACTGGGCTGGCTGTGTCCGAAGGCTGGTGCCTTAACCTTTGTCTAAAATGCTTTTTTTTTTTTTACACCGTGTTTGAGCAACAGACCAACTAACACCGAATCATGGCAGCAGCTTTATTATTCTTTATTTCTCCACTGCGATTCCCTGTTCAACCACTAGAGCTGTTTTATTTGTGCTGTCTATTCTCTTAATGTCTACAGCTCAGAGAACGTGTCGCTCAATCGGCCAGACACCTCTTTTGCCCACCCAACCCCTGGGGAGGACCGGCCACCCCCTCCTTACCCTTCCTCCTCGTGCCACTCCGTGCCCCACCACTTTTACCCCAAGCCCCCACCTTGCGCTCGTCCTGTGGCACCAGGTCCCGAGTCCCAGCCCCCTGGCTCGCCACCACCCCCAGTGCGCTGGTCTGGCTTCACTCCTCCCGCCCCGCCCCCTTCCTCCTCCTCTTCTTCCTCCTCCTCATCTCTCGACATCAATTCAAACCCCAAACCTAGTTGTCTGCACTTCCCCAAGCACAGCCCGCCAGGTGACTTGTCACAAGCCCCTCCGCTCGACACTAACGCTTCACCACTCTATGTCAAAACCCCCTTGCTACTAACCCGCCATGACCAGAGTCACAGCAACCCCCCTAGCCTCCCTTCGTCCGCTCCCCCACCCCCGCCGTGGGCTGCCTGTCCATGTGCCCGAGAGAGAGGACCCCCCAGGCTGACTAGGTAAATACAACACTCCTGTGGTCACTGTGGGTGCATCACAGAGCGCCAGCTGTTTTTCTCTTCTAGCTCGCTGGCTCAGATTTTGCTTTTTGCTTTTTCACCCCTCCCCTTTCTGTTGACTTCTAGTTCTTTGACGTTCGGTTTGTCTAGAAAAGTGTTTGAAGTGAGGTGTCTCTACCAACCAGAACTGTTCAAATGATATTTGATTGTTTAAATTTTGAAGTCTACAGTGTTTTTTTAACCACTTCTGACCTTGGACAACCCTGATTTATGACATACAAAAATATAAAAATATAAATTGGAATTTCTTCATTGTTCTAGCATAATTTCTCCTGGGAAATTAAAAATTTCAATGATTTTAAAAAATTTTTTATTTATTTGTTTATTTTTACCGGTGACACTGATCTAATTTGTTTAAGAGCTGCAGTTCTTAAACAGAGAGCATTGATGTTAATGTCGCATGTCTTGCTCCTGCTAAAATTATTCACATGTTGAAGTTTACTGTAGTAATAAGATCACATATTTATTCTTTATGTTGATATGATTTGTTGTATTGCCTCATAACATCATGTTCTTCAAGTTGATTGTCTGCTTAGAAAAACGTTGAGAAACGTTTTTTTTCAGCTTTATAAAGGTAGTGGTTTGCTTTAAACATAAAATTTGATGACTATCATTTGAGCTTCTCCCTGCACAGTTCATTGTTTTTGCATGGACATCTGTCTGAAGAGTACAGCACACAGAACAGACGAAATCATGAGGGTGTCATAAAATAAACCTTCTACAGGTATAGCCTGGACCATTCTTTCATTTGTTTTGACACTACATGCAGATGTTGCGGTCTTAAAAGATTTCACAACTTCCCTGGTCAACTTTATTTCGTTTGCTAGTACTTATCCTAATCTGTGTGTTAAATCTGCAACACACTGCAGAAAAAAACTGAAACATTAATGAGATAAAATATTGAGATGCCATTGATTTCTAGCTTGAAATAAAACTACAAGGTTTTAGCCAAAGGTAAATAAAATAATTATTTGATGTCGTATTGACCCTTCCGACTACAATTTTAATAAACAGTCTCGAATGAAGGGTTCAAATATGTATTTAACCTCCAATCACAGAGAGAGTTAACAGTGAGACATTTTTTCTTGCCACAAATTTGTACTTTATGTAGGTCATTCTTGGTCCTCTCACTGTCTGTGTGTTGTAGGTTCTACACAAAGTCTGCTATTGTCAGCTTTTGTTTTTTTTCTTTTATTTTTAAGTTCTCAGTCAATAGGACCACAAATCTCCAATTACTTAAAGTTAGCACACTTTTGAATAAAAAAAAATCTAATAGCAATTTTTTAAATGAAAAAGTAACAATACATCTAACCAAGAAAAGAAATAAAATCATTCAATCTCACAAAGTCAAGAAATTTGTATTTATGTTGTTTTTAATAAGTCACATATGAACCTGTTTGGATCTACAACGATTTACAGGTCAACAAAAATTTGACTACTGAGTCAACTTGATTCCGTAGTCAAATACTTTATTTATAATACTTTATTTTAATAAAGTCTTGCATGTCAATGTATTTAGTAGCCAAAAGAGAAAAGAAAAATCAGTTTCCCCTGCTTTTTTATGTCACACATAGTGTAAATATTTGGAAAATGTTGCAGCTTTGCACAATTATAACTACTATTTTTGAGGCTTTTTTTGAACTTCTAAAATTATTTACTTTAAACATCTCCATAGTCTTATGACTGTCAAGTTTTAACTGTTAGTTGTGTTTTTGTTCTTCATATATTGTGATTTTCAGAACCCATTTTTAATTCTGGTATGAGTCTAATTTATCTGTTCCAAGTGATGGTGATGATGGTGGTTATGGGTGTTTTGGTGTTGAGGTGACACAAAGGAGACAGTCCAGTTTCTTTCTATTCCTTTTCACTGATTTTCTGTTTTCATTCTGGTTCACATAATAATATCTGCCTGCTTTTCAGTTCGCTAAAGAGTAAAGAGCTTTCACCTGTGATTGGGCACAAAGGCATCCAGGTGGCAAGCCCAACAGTGCCCCCCAGCTGCAGCCCTCAGAGCAGCACCCAGTCCCCCCATTCAACTGAGCACAGCCCTCACGCCCTGCGCAAAGGTTAGTACTTCTCTTACTGTGAGCTCTCACTGGCTCTCAAAACCTAAAAGTGTTTTGTATTAATATATTCAAAGTAATGAAATGATTACTCTGTGATTTTAGGTTCCAAGAAGTTGGCCCCTGTGCCTCCAAAGGTCCCTTACGCCCAGTCCGGAGGGATGTCTGACCAGTCCACAGGTCAGCCATCACCTGTAAGCCTGTCCCCTACACCTCCCAGCACCCCTTCCCCGTACGGACTGACCTGTCCTCCAGGGCAAGTACCGCCATCCTCCCCTGGGCAGACTCCACTTGGGCCAACCCACTCGCTATCATCTCCGCCCTCCCTCTCTGGGACACTCACCAAGTCGCGGCCTGCCCCTAAACCGAGGCAGAGGCCGAGCCTACCCCCTCCTCAGCCACCCCCACCACCTCTACCCCTGGCTCCAGTCCCCCAGCCTCTGGAGCAGGACCTCCTGGATGGACTGTCTCCTGGAGAGAGCATGTCAACAGGTAAACACCAGCCTCTGGAAACAACCCCCCCACCGCCACCACAGGTGGGGCTGCAGCAGCCCACTCTCAGACTCGCTGTGGCTCTGTCCAATGGAGACGGTGGTCGAGTGTAGGACCCTTTAGGACTGTAGACACAGAAGACCCCATGTCCCTTTAAATGACTCCTCCCAAACAAAAATCGGAATGAAAAAACAAAGTGGCCTCTTAGACACAGACACCTGAGAATTATGCAATGTGAATAATAGTATTTTTGCGCTGTAGTGAGCAGATCTCCTATCCTATGTATTCATTGCTTGTGTTATGTGATGATGTTTCTGGGTAACTAGTGGAAACATCAAAACAGCATAGCTCGTCCTGCTTGTATGGAAGTTTGCCATTAGATTCATCATGTGCTCTCTGTTTATCTGTGTTGCCCAGACCCCCCACCCCCATGCGGCAGAGGTAGGTCAGAGGCTTACACAATTCGCTCAAGACAAGTGTCTCTCTCTGTGAGCAGACATGGAAACACAGCCAGAGAATCCCACATTATATTTACAGTACTGTGTTCTGATGACGAGGTGTTTTGTTAATATAAACCAATCTTTTTTTTTTGTTATATTTATCATTCTCTTGTCCCCCCCTTGCTACTATTGTGTACTTTGCAGCTGTGTGAGGCCAGTGATTCAGTGTGGGCTAAGTGTGAGGGGGACTTTTAGGGTAAGCCAGACCGCCCCTCGCCCCATGCACTCCATGTCACTGCCTGGCCTCGTAGTGTGGATGCCTCTGGGGTTTCCTGCAGCCTGCCTCAAACACTTCCCCCCAGCTCTCAGTCAGATCTTCTATTACCCTCTTAACAGCAATATTGTATCTTTGCACTTTGTTGGTCAACCAGTGGTGCATGGCTCAAGGATTTCCCAGAGTGCACCACACTGAGCTCACATTGCAGTAACCATTGCTTACAAAGGTCCATCCTAAAGCAGCCGCCCCGCCCCCCGCTCCCTTCTTGTGCCTTTTTATTTCCAAGTACCATGGTGACAGGCATCATCCACCTGCCACTTTTTCCGGGGGTCTTCAGGTAACCCCCTACCCCTCCTGCTCTTCTACTCGGCAGGTTCATTGCTTTTTGTAACCTCTGCTTCCTCTTACCACGCTCCACCTCATTCCTACACAGGAATAGTCATCAGTCTGTTTGGACGTGTGGCTTCCAGTAAACGGTGCAACACATTAGTTTAATGACAGTTTCTGCAAATACTGTGAGCAGAATTAATGAGATTTCCATTGTTACTTTAAGCCACTTGGTGTCTCGGTGCCATCTTTCTCCACAGAGTTCCACACACACATCTTGTTGCCTCTGTGTTTTGGCTGTTGTTGTAGACGTGTGGTGTGTCACTGTGTTGTTGGATTTTTTTTTTTGCTGACAGAAAATGTGTTGCTGTTCTTTGAAGTTTCAAAAAGCTGTGACATACTTTACCTTACAATATTATCATCCCATGAACCTTTGTCACATTTTGTCATTTTCTAGCCAAAAACCTTTCAGATTTATTAGATTGAGATTATGTGATTGAACTACACAAAGCAGTGCATCAGTCTTGTTCAATAATTCTTTTGCAAATAAAATTCCAAAAAGTGACTAAATAACTCAGTCTCATGCTGAGACAACAGTAGTTTTTAAACAGATTCTCAATTGAAAAAGCTATTGTTAAATAACTACAGCATACCATTGTTCTTATGTTGTAAATCTGTGCATTCTGCGCAGTATGTTATTCTTATTTTAACATTTTTTAACTTTTGTGTGAAAATGGTAAAGAGTATTTCTATTCTACTGTCATTTAGGTCTGGGACTGACTAAAATGTCTCCCCTCTTTAAACTAATTGAAAACCATGCCTTATCTGTTGAATGTATTCCTATGTCTTTATGATAGAGTTTGCTTATTAATATTCCGTGAAAAAAACTCTGAGGGCAATTGTGTTTATACGTAGTTGCATACAATTTATTAATTAGATGCCCTTTTAAGACAGTTTTATTAATGGTTATCAGATAAAGGTGACAGACTATACGCACAAGCCGCACTTTTCAGATTTTACGCCTAAACAACGTTGATACACATATATCCTTTCTACTTCAAAATGATGTGCTACTTTGTGGACGTTGCAATACAATAAAGTTTGTTGTTAAAATGTGACAAAATGCGAGAAAGTTTGTGGAGTGTGAATACTTTTGGCACTGTGCAACACTAAGTGTTTGCTATGGTTAACATCAAACTGGAAACATCCCTGTGTAGAATGTGAAGCACATATAATCTACTGAGGTCTTTAAACCACTCACTCTGAGTTCAGATAAGAAGCATTAATATTACTTCTGCTTTCTTCCATTTTTTTTACTTCATTATCATCATCATATGTCTTCCCATTTCCTCTTTTTGTCACTCACGATTACCATTTTCACTATTTCACTCTTCACACTTACCTTTCCCCCCCATCATGCTCACCATTAGATATCTTCAATTATGAAATCCCCTCCATCAATGTCAATCTGGACAGCCTCATCGATGAGTTCAGCGGTGCCCCCTGCAGGAGGTCCCTGGCAGTGACAGACTCTCCAGAGGGGGACGCTGTGCCTGAGGAGGAGCCCCAGAGCACCATTCTATGACCTATAACCCTGAGGCATCTTTTACCAGCGTCCCAGTGGCTGTATATGCTTTGAACTGTCAACACCAAGGCTTGATGGAAACACTGACTGGCCTCACCAAATGCCCACCTGAAATCAGAACATGAACCTTTCCTCACATCGGCTCCAGGCTGCAAAGAAACTCATCTTTCTCAGCTGCTTCTTTTATGTTTATGTGACTACAAACAAAACAAACAAACAAAAAAAACACCAAAATGCCATAGTGGATGAATTGTTGCCTTTAAAGAGAAAAGACTGGGAAATCGATAAGTATTACATCAAAAGATATTTTTATCACTGATTTATTTTTTGCTTATTTGCTTTACTTTGTAATTTTGTTTCACGGTGCAATGCTCTACGTTTCTCGATCTTTTTGTAGTTATTTTGTTTTGCCTTATAAGAACATGCAATCAAATTGCAATATGACGTTCACAGGTTGTGCAAATAAGTTGCTTTTGGGAAACTGGCATGGTTTGGAGCAAATCTCATCCTCAGGTTGAAACACAGACAGAGTGGGAGTGGGGCTCACAGGGTATTCAACTTTGCACACATGAGAAACAGACTGGGCCCTTTAAGGCAGGCTTTGCATGCAGGATGGAACATTTAACTCAGTTTTAATAAAGTCCCTTCATTTTTACTCCACCTGAAAAAATAGGTGTTTACACATGTACAGGTAAAACTCACCTAAACTCACTCTACATTGTACCAGCACATAATCAGAAGAATGTTATTGCAATTTAAGCTTTTTCTACTTGCACCCGTTGTTCCGTTTGGAAGAAGCATCATGTTGTTTTTGCATGACGAACTGATGTGATTGATCTGCTTCAGATTCAGGGCCTCTGAGTGATTTAGTTTTATTTCCAAAGTGTTAATCTAAAAGTTTTGTTTCCCTCTGGGAGGAAATCCTGACCCTCACGCCTGTTAGGATGCTGCAGCTTGATGATGACGGACGGAGGACTACACTGCCTTTATGTTTGTGCGATTCGCTCTCAACTTTGTTTCAAGTGCTTCAGGTTCAGTGACCTTTGACCCTTGAGTGTAAATACAAAGACTGTACATAGGTTTATGTATATAAAATTGAGAGGAAGATTATATGTAAAATGCATATCTGGAACATATAATGATATTAATATATGTGCTGATATTTATCGTGTAGAAAATGACATGATTAAAATTTTGATGTTATATTTTGTCCCTGCACACAATGAACAGGTGTACTGTAGATTTATGTTTTTTTCCTTCTTCACTTTTACGCCGTTTTACTATGGTGCTGCAGCAGACATGCAGAATGTTCACTCTGCAGCAACTCATCTGAGGTCTTCAGGCCTGTTCTAAATCTTCACGATCGACTTATGATTCCTCCATCTAAAAAATCTATCTGCATTAGAAAACAATACTCTCAAAATGCCCAAATTATTTTTTTATTTTAACCCAAGACAATTATAAAGTGCCTTCCAGAAGTATTACTACATCTTGAACTTTTTCACTGCAGAAAACGTCACTATGTTCTATTGACCAAAACATAGCAATGCATAACAATGAAGGGGAAGAAGCATATGCATAATTTTGTTTTTGTTTTTGTTTTTGTTTGTTTGTCTTTTTTTAGAATAGCTCAATTTTAAGCAGATTGGAGAGAGAATCTGTTAACCTCAGTTTCCAAATCTTACCAGTTTTTCTTCAGTCTAGATCTTACTAATACATGAATATGTTTTTATGTAAACCATTCCGCTCTTTGTTTAGGATTGGGATACTACTGAAAGGGGAACGTTCACTCCAGTCACCAATCTTTTGTAGCCTCTCACAGGTTTTCTCTCAGTCTTTAGCAGCATCCATGTGCTCATCAACTCTGGCCAGATTATCTGCCCTGTTGATAGAAAAGCAACCCCCAAAGCATCATGCTGTTTGAACCATGTTTCATTGTGGGGTATTAATTTTCTGCTCATCTTCATTTGAAAATGGAGGGATTTAATGAACTCTGACCTGAGATTCTTCCTTCATATATCCTGCGTTTCCTCGTGTCTTGTGGCACACTTCAGAAAAAAACAGTTTGACAATCTTGCCTCTCTCCTATGCTAGATATGAGGAATGCATCATTAAGAGACTGTCCTGTGAATAAATACTTCCATTTGAGCTGTGGATCTCTGTTGCTCCTCCAGAGCTCCCATGGGCCTCTAACCTGCTTCTCAATGCTCTCCTTGCCTGCCTTGTCATTTTTAGCGGAGGGCTATATATTGGTAGATTTGCATTTGTGCCATGTTATATTCTAATGTCGTTCTTTCAGAATAGGTGAACAACTTTATCCCTGACATTTCTTTCTGTTCCTTGAGCTTCAGGTTGCTGTTTTTGTCATTAATGTTCTATAACCAAACCTTTGAGGCCTTCACAGAACAGATAGATTTGTACTGAGATTGCATCACTCACAGGAGGACTCTTTTTTTTTCCTTTTGCTAATAAAGTGACTTTGGAAGGCTGTTTGGTGCACTGACTTTCACTTAGGTTAGAACTAGAGAAATATGAAAAAGGTTCCAAGGGTATTAATGCTACTGCAAGGCACTGGAGAATTTTGAAATTTAGCAGATGGGAGATGTAGCAGAATCACTTTTCTATGTAATACTAATCATCATAGAGCAGTGATTGTGTTGATTAAAGCACATTTACAGAGTTTACTGGTCCACCTTAGTCCAAAAAAAACTGCTCAAAATTACCTATTTCCAAATCTACTTTAAAGAAGCCATTGCATTCATAGTAAAGCATTTTTAAGGTGAATCCAAAAACTAAGTTTAGTTTACTTACTCCCAATATGGGAGCTATGATATGCCTCAGTGTGTGTGTTCTCAATGGACTATCTCTTTGAAGATTTTGGTAATGTTGATTATCTTGATAGTTGTGGTAACTTTATGACAATAATTGCAAGTGCCCTCACTCTTTGTTACTTTTGAACAACAATAATCAATGTGTGTTAGAAGTTTTTATTTTGTGTGCCGGATCCATATGTTCATACACAGAGGCAAAACTATCTCTGAATGTGACTGATGCAGATTTTTTTAGTGGTAGGCTGCTCTACAGGTTAAGTGAATATTAGGACGGGATGAAGTTAGTTCAGGACTGTTGGCATGTGTTGTTAACAGAACATGGCAGTATTACTCTAATGCTTTTAGGCAACATAACTGGAACTTACAGCCAAGCTGAAAGCATGCACTCAATTCATTATAGGTGTGATAATTAAGCTTCAAACAAAACAACAACAAAAAAAAAACTTCTGTACTTTCCCAAAAAATGTGAGCCCTTACCTTTGGTTGCTGCTGTGAATTAACTACAGCTATGTTTTTAAGTGCATATTAGTTAGATCAACTTCTTCCACCTAATGATACACAGTTCTGTTGTTTTATTGAGCTTTTAATGGCTGTAGGTCAATTTCCACTTTATCACCAGGTATGTCACGCCAAAACAAAGCCAAGTTTATTTGCATATTGTGTGGATTTAAAACAGGAGGAGACAAAAAGAGTCATGCATGCACTTGGAAAATATTTTTAGCAGACCACGTCCTTTCGTTAATCAGTCATGTCAAGGGATTGTGAGAGAATGTGAAATGCAATGGACGCTCTTTTGTGGGATTTTGAGCAATACAGAGGAGGAGTGTAGGTTGCCTGTGGATGTACAGCCTCCTTCTGCTTTCACAACTGATGTATAAAACTAAATCTGCCGCTTGTCGAGCCCACCATGCCCAACCCTTCATTCTCTGCTTAGCATAATGAGTGGAACACAGTGTGTACTGTGAAGTCTACCTGCAATCCTTATCAGAATGTCAGAAATAAATATATATTAAACTCTACATTTTTAATAACCCCACTTGGTCATTGCTGCTTTATTTCCTTCCATCAACAAACATCACCCACTGCAGTTTGTAGGTTTGTTGTGAAGGCATGTCTTTTATATCCTGCTACTAACTACTCTCATTCTGTCTTTGACCTTATTTTGATACCATCTTTATGCTCTCTCTCTCTCTCTCTCTTCTCTCATGTAACATGTGATGCATTTTTTTTTTGGATCAGTGTGAAAAGGGAAGCTAAGTAGGAAAAAATCTTAAACTGCATATTATTACTAACATTACTAACATGTGAGGAACAAATCTGTGATTAAGTAGCAGAAGTCCGTTGAGGTGTGTAACAAGCTGTACTGGTCAAGCAGGATGGGTGAAGAATTGCAACAGGAGAATAATGGGAGTGAACACTGTGGTGAAAAACAATGGTGATTCATACAGCGGATGAGTCTAACCTCTCCTAAAGCTCACCCACAAAATGCACAATGAACTGCCAATGTTTGAATTGCGAGTTTGTTAAATTGGTCTTTTTAACAAATGGTTGCAATAGTGACTGATTGTAATCTAACTTTCAATATTTTGGTCTTGATGTGATGCTGTGTATCCTGAAGGGCTCTGGTAATCTAATCAGTCAAGCAGTGTCTCTCCTTACAGTAGACAGGTACAGCTCATCTCCTTCAGGCTACCATGGGTGCATAAATTATTTCTAACAGATCCTTCAAATGTGTCTCTCTTTACACTGTCTTTATGAGTAGCTGGTTAAAGGATTCTTACCAGTTCTCATTTCTATAATTCTATAAAAACTTCAGTAACACTTGAAGATTATTGTTGGATTCATCATTCCCTGGTTTAAGATCATGGTTTACTACAACCACAAGCTTCAGTTGATATTATTATGACTTTCAACCATAAGTCAACATGAACTAGTGCCTAATTTTATGTTTTTGTTTTTTTTTTTTTTTAATAATCACATGTGAACTTAATGTTCCTTTGAGTTCCCAAGCATCAGCTGCTTTGTGCAGGAAAACACTCTGAAATCTGTGTTTGTAAAGTGATAGAATGTGAACGAGTGGTGGCTGTGTTAATACTTGAGCAATGCAATGTTTCTACCTGGAAAAGTGGGAGGCTGTGGCTTTACAGGTTTGGCCACAAACTGTGTACTGCTGCTTGGAAACACTGCAGTCAGCAACACACCACAACAGAACCCGGGGCTCTTTAACAACAGTGTGAATATTGTTTGTTGAGTTGGGGTAAAAAGGCTGGAAAACTGAGACTGTTATTCATGCCCAGCATCAGTTTGATGACTAATTCATCTTGTTGTTAAGGCAAAATTTTAATTTAGACTGCTGCTTAGCAATATACATTATGTGCAAATAAAAGCCTTTGTTTTATTATTTTAATCGAGATAAATTAATAAGTCAATACAGAGCTATAGTCCAACATGACTACAACTAAATACTTGAACATACAGTTCATATCGTGATACGTTGCTGATTAGTGAAACTCACATGCACAATAACTTTGTCCCTAAAGGTTCTTGAATCGTTTCCGCTTGGATCTGTATGCCGTGCATCTTCAGCAGCACTATGCCAATAAAATCCAAGGTAAAGTCGCGGCCACCAGCGCCAGAACAGTAAAGACTGACAGCAAACAGAGCAAGCATCGAGCCGTGGTGCAAACCCTGCGTCTCTCCCTGCGCTGAGGGTGAACCACTGTCATCACAACGTCGAGCGCATCCTCCTCTGCCATGGGTCGCCCCTGGGCACTTATGATGAAGATCTGACACGCATTGTGATTTTGTCCGATTAACCTCTCCTGACGGACTCGTCGAATGATACTCCCGCAACAGTGGACTATCCAGTTAACTCCGCTCAGTAAGCTTCCCCCGGAGGCGCGCCGTGCGCTCCGGAGCTGCGTCGCCGTGGTGGGAAGAGGCACCTCCAGGATCTGTTCTTCATCTGGATACTTGGTCGCTGAGAATGCCACCAGCGATTCCTTTTGCCTCTTGATGAACGTCAGATGTCGGCAGATGGGGCAGACAATTGTGTCCCGGAGGAGCCCGTGGCTGTTAATGCTGACCAGCGTTTTGACCAAGCAGTCGTGACAGAACACATGTCCGCAGCTTAAAGTCCGCTCACTGCCCAACAGGATCTCATAGCATACTGGACACTCCGGTGTGTCGTCTTGGCTGTCCTCTTTGTAGAGTGCCATGTAGAGGTAGAAAATGCTGAAAACGGGTTGTCTCACAATAAGAACCCCGAGTGAAGGAACACTGAGGTGCTCCTAGTTCATTGTTCCTCATTGACTGCGCCGCGGTTTTGGGTGGAGGCCAGAGTCTTGTAAAACAGGGTCTGTCACCTGTGACAGCAGAAACCTGTCTAATTGGATCCAGTTCAAGTTCTGAAATGGTACATATTTTATGATCCTCAACCCCACTGCCAGTGGTGCTTGTTTTTGCTTTGTGAACTATGTTTGTCCAATAATTTGTTTCATTAGATTTTTCAAGTGTGTAACAAAAAAAAAAAAAAAAAAATTAACCTTTCAGAAGTCGGTGTATCCTACTTCTGACAGGTGAGACATAGATCATTCGTTCTTATTCATTTTCGTGTGGAGCGTTTTGTTTTCTGGCTGTTATGCACCACCTAGTGGTCACTAGAAATAACTACACCTAACTAAGTTCAAGAAAAAAAATAGTACATAAATGTGAACCAGCAAAATAAAATAGTCTCCACAATGACCAGCTTCAACAGAGAAGCTTTGGGATGTGATTGGAGATTCTCTGAGGGATGTGCACACACCTTGTTTGCACATGGTGTGTGCATCTTGACTCAAATCCACTAAGAATTGAGTCAAGAGAAAGATGGGGTGTAATTTGTTTTCAGCAAAGAGTCTTAAATCCAGTCATTCAATAAAAAAGAAGAATCTCCAGGGGGGCAATTACAGGAGGCACCTGGGTCATACATAACAATGGAAGATAAAATAAGTAAACAAAAGGAAAGAGCAGTAAGCAATGCGTAAGTCTTATGTAATAAAATAAATGGTGAGTGTAATATGACCAGATGTTTCCATACACTGCATAAAAAAGACCTATTAATCTCACCTATTACTAAGCTTTTTTGAGATTTAGGTCGGTGTGCACTCCCAGTTTCTTTTCTGACCACATTGCTAAAGAATGAGAAAACACCTTTTATGAGTGGAAAACAATTATGCTAACTTCGACTGATTCAAGAAATAAACTTTGGAACATACAGTGTGGAACTTTAAATATGCTTTATTTTTTCACTTAACGCAGTCGGCATCTTGAAAGTTCTTATGTGCAAACATTTTTTTACTTTTGCGAAAAAAAAAAAATTTGTCCACACTTGTGCCTGTCGATATCCCAGCTGTCTTCCATAGTCCATAAAGCATGCATGTTAGGCACACTCCCTCAGGGTCGGAATGTAACAGGTAAACTACACTAAACTGGTTGTTCAAATGTGAATGCACTGTTGTTCTGTGCACTTTCCTGGCCATGTTTTAGTTTGGTGACCGAGTGATTCCGATGGATGGATGGATGGATGGATGGATGGATGGATGGATGGATGGATGGATGGATGGATGGATGGATGGATGGATGGATGGATGGATGGATGGATGGATGGCATGTATTTTGTTTTCCATCTATCACTAGGGGTCAGGTTAGTCCTGTTATGGACGCCACCTTGTGGTTATTGACGTAACTCCAAAAAGTTACGGAAAAGAAAAGAAAGAAAAAAGGAGTGCCTCTTTTAGTTTCAGACGTTACGTAACGTGAAACTACGTCACGGCGTACGTCTTGCACGAGGATTTACGTTAGTTCCGGGAGACGCGTTGGCAATTTTCTAAACACATTCCAGTTCCCTCATTCAGTATCGGAGGCCCGTACCGGGAGAAGCAGGGCGTCTCGTTGTGTGTTTTACCGGCTGGACGGAGTATTGTTGAGACAGAGGACCAGACAGCGGGTTGATATGAGCAGGTAAGGACTTAAACATGATTTATTATTGTCAGTTATTGGCCTGTTCGCTCAACGTTCTCCGGTGCTGTTCTTTTGTGAACGTTACGAAGATAAAAAAGCTGACATTTCGACTGTACTGCTTGGCTTTTACATTTAATTTAGCTGTATGTGGAACATTCTGGTGTCTTCAAACACAGGACTGCCTCAGTCTAAACGCAGGGCATCAGATAGCGACATGTTTCAACTAGCGACCTCTTCTCTAATTCACTAAATAACTTTTCTTAAATAATATACAGTCTGTATGATTCAGTTTAGATGAGTACTAGTCGTTGGTTTTACGTTTCAGAAACTGTTGATGTTTGGAGTTTTTTTTTCCCCCCTAATGCCCAGTTCACAAAAGATGCTAATTTAAGGCAGCAATCTAGCAGAATATATTAAACATTACCCAAACCAGAGGTTTGGTGTTTAATATCACCACCACACCCTTTAAACCTTCAAGTAGTCATGCTATCCGTGCAGATTGAACCAATAAGACTGAATAAATATTAATGTAAAAGAGTTGATGTAACACTGATCTCATCAGGCTTACGAAGTCCTATTAAATATAGTCATCATTCTTAAAGTATAAGCAAACAGGATGGTGGTGGAGGACTTTCTCCCCACTTCTCTTTTAGTCGTGGCAAAACAAGGAACCTCCTCATGCAGGTTCCCTCCTGTCCTTATTCTTAACTTGTTACATGATCCGGCTTGACCTCTTCTGCTGGTGTGTTATGTTACCTGTACACTCTGTACAGGTAACATTTTTTTCTGCCATGTCTTGTTGACAACAAGACATGGCAGATCCAAAAGGCTGCATCTGTAGTTCTGAATGTGCCATTGAATATCGAGTTTTCTATCAGACTTTGGCCTGTGTCCATGGCAGCTCTTGATCATCACATGCATGTGGGAGACACGGAATCCCCTAGATATTTTTGGTACTTTCCTGCACAGCCGATAAGTCTCCCCCTATCCCATGATGCACCCAACTTGTTTTGTCAGTGGTATTTTTGGGAAAACCATCCAGCTGTCCACTGTTTTGATTTGTGAAGCTGCATGCTAACACATTTTGTCAGTCAAGTCAGTTGCTGATGAGGCCACCTCACAGGAATGTTTCAACGGAAGAGCAGTCGCCCACTCGATAGAGTGGAGAAAATCACACATCCTTTTTAGTCTAAACTAAGCCAGAGACGAAATCTGTAGCCCCACAAACCCAACAGCAGTTGCAAATATTCTTACATTTTCCTGAAAACATTCTATTTTTTAAAAAAATATGCATGGATTAAGGTAGCTGTGTGTTATAGTGCTGCTCTTACAAATACAACAGTGGATTAAACGCATAAAACATTTGTTTAACATTAGCTACTCTTTATTTAGATATTTTCTAGGAACTGATTGTCTCAAGTTGAAGAGAAAACTGTATAGAGGTGTAACTACAAAGTCCTCTCTTATTTAGCAAATGGCACATTATTTAGCACATTTATACACCTAACCACACATTTTTTTAAAAAACTAGCAGAACTTGCTGGCGTAATGCAAATTCAAAAATACTGAACATACTGGTCATATTGTGACATGGTCAGACTTACATGGAATTATTTCTCATTTTAGACCTCAAAAATGTGCTTCCATTCAGGTGGCAAATTTAAAAACTGGATTTCATTGGTTGCTCTGATTTGAGATAAGAAGGGAATGCATCCTACTTGCTTTGACATGCCAAAGAACACAAAAGATTAAATATTTAGTACCAGACGAGGGTAACCTGCTTGTGTTAAAGTGTTTTTTGTGTTGTTTTTTTTTCTTTTTTTTCTTTTTTTTCTTATTTTTTTCTTTTTTTCTTATTAAGAATATGTTTATTTTCTTCTTAGGTTGCCCTGACATGGACACAGAGATGATTCCTAAATTTTCATCAAAGGATGAGGAGGCTGATTATTGGAAAACTCAAGCCCTGAAATATAAGAAAAGGTAGGTTGTGCCCCTGAGACTTTATACTTTTTTCATAAACTTTATATGTGTCGGTTGTAAACTGTAAGTTGATATTTTTAGCGTTCTGTTTTATGTGTAACCTTGAGCTGCATGTTTTGTTTTGTTCTCAGTGTTTTGTGTGTGTTAACCCTAACCCTAGAATAATGTTTTTGCTCAATAAGCTAATCTTGCAGCAACATAACTGTGCTTATTTTGTAGCTGGCAGCAGTTCCCCTGTATTAGCACAAAAATAAAAACCAACCTCAGTTGAGAAATGTTTGTGGTTTGTAACGCAGGGCAACTGGGTTGAGCCCAAAAAAGGCAAATGACTTGCCGGGGCCTTATGACATAACAGACCGCAAACCTGCTGACCAAATCAAGAGGAAATGACAAAAGCTTTGACTGGTTTAGCAAAAGCCACAAGCCTTTTTGGGGTCTGCAGCTGTGCTGCGTAAATCTTTTTAAACCCTGCCTGGTCTTTCCGTGAAGCTGAGAGACATTCAGGCAAAGTGAAAGGTTGCATATAAAGGGTTAAAGACATGGTGATTTTTTCGAGAAATTTCCGCAGTGGGTAAATGCGAGAAAAACATCAAGCCACGGAAAAACTAACTACAAGTAGGTGGCTTGCTGCACGTGTTTCAAGCATGTGTTTTCTCAGGCAGACTTTGACACAAACCTATCAACAACTGCAGCTTGCATTGTTAATAAGTTACCTTTTTGAAATGTTTAATGTCAGGTTTAAACCCCTAACATTAGTAAAACACTACCTGGAAAGAAAGACAGAACACATCAGTTAAATTTTACTCGCGAGGAGAGTGCCCCAGAGACGTACATCAGTTACAATCTCCAACACACTCTGAGTACGTCTTGGCTCTCAACGCCTGTTATTTCCTTAGGTCACCCTGGTTACACAAGGACACTGTAGCTCTAAAAAGGCGTTGGGTAAACAATTCATCACACAGCTACAGTGCCAGTTCTCAATTCCCAACTAAGTGTTAGATACAAATACAAATACAAATACAAAGACCAGGAGAATACAATGCCCCTGGGATCGATTTGTGTTTCTTTTATCTTTGAAGCGATGATTCTGTCACCTCGGATGGCCAGGGCAACATCCAGCCTGATAGGAAGAATGGGTCGTTTGCATACAACCCAAAGTCTCAGGAAATGAACTTTATGACCCCAGGGACAATAAACAAACTGTAACCTCAGGAGATGCAAAGACAGTACTTTGATAATGTATATTGTGATTGCCTCTTCTTCTATGTAACACAATTATCTTGTAGGTGATAATCTTGTTCTGGACATCAAACAGAATAAGTAGTTAATCTTCACAGTAACAGTTTTACAGCATTCCAACATACATAGTAAGAAAAACAATACATGGGATAACTTACATACAATTATTCCAACATTTAACTTCCCTTATTTTGCTTTGCTACATTTGACACAAGTGTGAAATAGTAACTTCTTGTTTATTTGGACA